GGCTCCAGGCACAGCCTTATAAGGGCTTTTCTCAGGGGTTCAGCACAGAAATCGCTTCTTTCCTCTGCCAGCTGAAATGCGTCTGCCTGACAACAGGCCTGCAGGCAACAGGCGCAGGCCAGCAGCCCGAGGGCAGGTGGGATTTGGGAAGGGGCCTGTCCCGGGCAAGCCTTTCCTGCGGGTGAAGGAAGCCACGCGCTTTGCTCCGCGGGCGGCCCAAAACTGCAGCGGAGGAGGCGGCTGCAGAGCTTCCCCTCCTACCATCTAGAGGGGAGTTTTCTCACCACGGCTGTAGCAGCATAAATAGAAAGGCATCTGTAAATAAAACAAAGGCAAAGGACAGGCTGCTGAGTGGTGTCTGGGCAGGAGCAGCTGCAGGGCTTGGAAGCCTTCTTTCTCCCTCTTTCGAGCACTGAGAGCTGCTCCCTCCCCTCTGCTCAGGTCTGCGCTGGCTGTCAGGGAGCAGGAGCACGCAGCGTCCCAGCCCAAAAATCCGAGGGCTTGTCTCTCCCTTCCCAGGACTGGATCCCATCTCCCAGGACTTACCACTCGTCATGTGAGACACTTTGGCGAGCTTCTTCATGACATTGTCAAGCCGTGACTGGGTGCTGTCTAACTCATGGGAGAAGTCATCCAGCATCCTGGGGACAGAGGAGCACTCATCAGCAAGTGGCACGTCCCTTTGGGGCTTCTTGGCGTGCTCACACACAACTATGAAACACTGATGTGATCAGTCTATCACACCTTGGCAGAAAAAATTAAATGGCCCAGTCTCCTGAAAGTACCCAAGGGGGGAAAGAAAAAACCAGCCAAAGCAGCAGCTCTGCTTTAGTGGAAAGTAGGAGTCACTTGGGACTCCTGTTGGACCGGTCCCTGCTGCATGTTTGTGGCTGTGCTCTACGCACCCCTACAAGGTGAGGAGTTGGGGGAGTTAGCAGAGACTGTTTAGGTAGACGTAAGTGCCAGCTTGGACTTTAAATCTCTTTTCTTGTTCAGGGCTTGAAGCTGAAGCTAAAATCTTTTTCCAGTCACGTATCAAGCAGGAATGAGATCTGTTAATTGCTTCTGAGGTGCTTTTTAAGCTCTGCGTGGAAGTTAACCCTTCTACTTCCTCCATACAGTGACTGTAACGAATCTGAAAGCCTTCCTGAGGCCATGCTTTGTAAATGCCAAGAACCCTTCCAAAGAGAAACGAGCACATCTAGAATCAAGGTACCAATCCAACCGTCTCCAGCCCGTGGGACTTCAAAGCTTAGTATGTTTAGGACAGCTTCTGTCATCTGGAGTTCTAGGGCACTTGTTAAACCTTCATTCAGTGAGGAAAGAGTTGTAAAAAACTTACTGTGGTAGTTACCTGCTACTGTCTAGCAAGCACAGATGGCTTATGTGATAATCTGGAAATGGACACACCACACTGATCTGCTTCTGTGAGAGCAAAACACTCTCATGCTGCAAGACTTCATACAGGAGGTGGGTTTAAAGCTCCTCCTCTCCATCAAAGATGACATCACTTCAGAAGGGATGTAGCCCTCCAGGCTCCCAACAGCCAAACCAGGAGGGTTTTTAGGCATGAACCCTTCAGGCCTCTCTGGAAGTGGTAGCTGCTAGCCTGCCTAACTGGAAACTTTATGTACTTGTTTTCAAAGGGCAAGAACTGGGAAAGAAATCTAATTTATATGTAAACGATGGATGCAAATTACTTTGTGAGGTACCCTTTAACCCTTTGCGTGGGTGAGGGTTATTTTTAGCTTTAACTATGAATAGCAGCTCTGTGCTGCCTGTTTCAGAGCGGCAAGGCAGAGCCGAGAACTCCTGGGTCAAGTTATCCAGGGGCAGCACAAAACCCTGCGGAGTGGGAAAGTGCCCAGCATCCCTGTTACACAGCACCTCCCACCCTCATCTGTCAGGCCCTGTGCCTGCCTGGAGCCAGGGAGCTAACTGTGTCCTTGGTGTGTGAACGGAGAGAGGAGGAAAGGCAAACCGGCAGCCAGGCCTGCCCCAGGCGCAGGCTTTCAAACGAACGAGGCTGTGGTCGGATCCCTGCAGACTGCAGTAAGAAATGCTTTCCACCACCTAAAATCAAAGGCCGGCTTGGAGAGGCTGCCTGAGGGACTAGTAAATTCAAAGCTCTAACAGAGATATGAGTGCAAGGAGCTCCAGCTGTGCTGCAGCCAGCCCCATGCTGGGTTTTCGGCGCCGTGTCTCACACTTACACTGCTTGCTCCTCCAGCTCCCCGCCAATGCGCTGGGACATGTTCTTCAGCACCCCGATGCTGCCAGAGACCAGCTCCAACTGCTCATCTTGCTGCTCCACAATCAGCTGTGGCCAAAGAGAAGGAAAATGGGCTATTACAGGTTTGCTGCCTCTCACAGCTGGGGCAGAGCCAGCTATCTGGTGGACATACGCTCACTGCTTGGCCAACATCAGCTGTGGGGCCTGGGCACAGACCTAAGGCACCGGGAATGAGGCCTGCATTCCTAAGAAATGCTGGAGAAGCGACAGCCGCAGGAAAGCCTCCCTGGCATGGCATCCCCATGGCACAGCTGGCTGCAGGCTCCCGGCATCCCTGCAAATCCAGCCTCAGCTCAGCTGTGCCCTTTTTCTTCCCTGCTAAAGCAATTCTTGAAAAAACAGAGGCTGGTCATCAACGCCCCCCCAAGCCACCCCTGCCCTCAGCAGATAACAGGGAGCCACATCGATGCTGTGCCTGGGAAATCCAGCCTGGAACATGTTGCAGCTAACAAGGGGTTAAAGCGAGTAAAAGGCTGTTGCAGCTTCTACAGCTAAAAATACCAAGCCTGGCTCTGAATGTGCCAAAGGAATAAGTCTGCTGATGTTTTAAGTCATTTTCAGGGCACAGTCACGCTAAGGATTAGGTTTACCCTAGTTACCTATTTCTGAATCTATTTATCTTCCTAGAGTCACTAGGTAAAACTCGTCTGGAAGCCCAGGTGGCCTCACGGCTCAGGAGCTTTAACAGCGTTTGCCACCACTGGAAGCTGCCCGTTCAGAGGCCCGCGTGTGGGTGGGCTGCCCGGGCGGCCGGGGGAAGCGCCTCGCCGGGGTTCCCGCCGAGCCCTCACACGGGCTTTCTCACGGCTCTCATGTTGACAAAGGCAGGAAAAGGAAGGAGGCACGTGCTCCTCCTGTTCTGATGGAGATGCACACAAACAACAGCAAACAGCAGCTCACGTTTTAACCAGGGGAAGTTGCATAAGAGAAACGGGCTCTTTTCAGTTTGCAACGATTCTGCTCTTCCAAGGATTTCGGCAATACTTGTTGATATTAAAGCTTAGCGTGCTACAGCTGCTGGATCATGTTGTTTGCTTTTGCTCAGAGCAGAAGACCCGAGCCTCAAGGCTTTAAAAGCTCTGTGCCAAGAAGCATCCAAAGCTGTGCAAGCACAGGTATATGCTGCGAGCAAAGAGCAGGGCTGTCAGGCTCTTGGATCCAGACCAGTCAAAGACTGGGATTTTTTTGGCTCTCGCAGCCTGTCCCTCATCCCCCTGGCACCTGTTTGGCAAGCAAAGCTGTTCGTCTGTACGGTGCCAGCCACCTTACCTGTTGTTGAGCTTGCTGCTCCTCAATGAAGTGTGAATTTGCCAACTGCAGCTCCTGGTCCAGACGGCTGTATTTGTCAGGTCCAGAGCTCCAACTCTGACTCCCACTTTCTCCCAGGAGCACCTAAACAGATGCAGAGAGACCTGAACAACACCCTGGTGTCTGCTTACAGCCTGTCTACAAGGTCCAGCAGGAGGGCAGACAAGGCAATACCCCTGTAAAGCATCCTTTTACAGCATCCTTTTCCTCCTGCTCTGCCACTACTCAGCCAGAGAGCTGCCAGGAGTTAAACAGCACAAAATGCCAGCCTGGGCAGCCTCTGTGGCTTGGTATCACAGCTATGCCTCTCCAGCAGCAGAAGAGCTGGAGTACAACCCACAGACAGTGTGGGCAGGAGGTCTGCACGGCACAATGGACTAGCCAAGGTCTGCTCAAGAGGCAGCACCATGTGGGAGGACATGTGATCTGGGAAGTACCGGGATATATTGTGTTAACAGACATACAAATCAAACTGAGCACTGTGCTACTAATGACAGGGGCTTAGGAGGCTCTCGATAAAGTACTTAACTAGTTGAGCTGACAGTACAATAGTGCAATATATAACCACAGCAGTGGTCCTGTTCTTTGGTTCAGGCTACCTGTCCCTCCAGCGACCGTTCAGCTGCCAGCATGCAAGATTACCTACAACTCCCTGAATGGTTTGAGGGAGGTGAGGGTCAGTCCCTTCTCCCAAGGAACAGGACAAGAGGAAACACCTTCAAGTGGCACCAGGGAAGGTTTGGGCTGCACATTAGGAAAAATGTCTTCCCTGAAAGAGTTGTTAACCTCTGGAACAGGCTGCCCAAGGAAATGGTGGAGTCCCTGTCCCTGGAGGGATTTAACAGATGTGTAGATGTGGTACAGAGGGACATGGTTTAGTGGTGACCTGGCAGTGCTCTCTCTAGTTTGTGGCAAGTGGTGCACTGGTTTTGCTGCAGCTTCAGCAGAAAGGGCTGTTTGCAGGCCTTAGCCTGGGAGGGTCAGGTCGCCACCGGGCAGCCCCTCAGGCAGAGGCAGGCTGGAAACACTGCTGCAGCCCAGCCCATGCTCTGCAGGGTGGGGGGAGGTGAGGGACTGGGGAGGGAGAGGAAGGCAGCAAGGGGAAGTCAGTTTTCCTGAGCAGATGTTGCCGCACTAGCTGGGCCATATGGTCTCCTGCAGCTAGCAGGAACTTCGTGCAAAGGAAAGCAGCAGAACTTAGGGACAGCTACAGACTTGTTTGAGCAAGGGTGTAAAGGACTTTGCTTCTCAAGCGTTTGCCAAGCATGTCAACAAACTCCATAACAAGCTTGGGAATCGCCTCTGTGCTGCTCAGTAGTTTGTGCAGTTTGTCATTTTTGCCAGAAGTGGCAAGACCAATGCAAGTATACGAGTTCCTTGTACAAGCACACACCAACTTTTACTGAGGCAGCTCTGGAAGTCAGCGCTGAGATCTCTTTCGAGCCTCCCCGCCAGCTGGGGAGGAGCACAAGCTGCATCTATTTCTATTCCTGAGATTACAAGCGCAGACAACCTGAGACTCCTTGAGCTTCTTTCATCTTCTTACGTGGCTAGCTATTACGAGAGGCAGCTGTGTGAAAGGGGATTGCAGGATCTCTGCTCCTAAATTGAGCAGAGCACAGGGTAACATTCACTGACACGGATTCTAAGTCTGAGGAGGAGAGAGATTCCCTTTTCTGCGGGATGATGCAACGCTGACAGTTGTACACAACCAGAGCTGAAGACAGAGACAGATGGCGAGCGCTGACTTAGTGCTCTGACAGACAGGCTTGGAAGAGGGTGGCTGCAGCGTGCCTGCGGGAACCAGCTCCCAGGTCAGCAAAACACACACGGTCCAAACACACAGCTTTGCACCCAAACCCCTTCCCAAAACAGAGTTTTGTAGGGGGATTAACTTCAGATGGGATATAGCTTGTAATTACAGCTTTTATGCAGTTTTGATCCACCATATATGTTCTACCAAACAACGTGGGGCCTCAGAGTAAGTGAAAATGGAAGTTTCACCTAATGCACACTTAAAGACACCAGCTGCCAGAGCTGATGAATCCTCCCTGTCCTTAAAGTAGCAAAGAGCCACCGCATTCACTTAACTTGCCTGTTGCTGGTTCTCACCTGCCTGTTTTTTCTTTCAGCCAGTGCTTGCACGGAGGAGTTTGACATCTGATCCTTCATTTCCTGTTTGTTCAACAAAAGAAGAAGTATGTGAGCACTGGATTTGAAGTGGCAGGCAATTTCAGGGTGCTACAGGGCTGTCTATACCCAGCTAGGCTTCTTTGGGGTGGGTGATAAGGGAAGGGAGATTTTCTTTCAAAATGTACAGTTTTGAAGAGCTTGGGAGGATATTGTATAAAGTTCATTTACCACAGTTCATTGTTTTACTAATAATAGAATCCACAGCAGCTGTATATTTTGAAAATATTCCTTGTCTACTACTCCTTTTGCTCCACTACAGCCAGAAACACTTTGTATAATATAAAACTAATGCTCCCATTGATTGACTGTAAGGAAGAGTCATGTTCTCCTAGGTCTTGGAAGCCTGGAAGCCCCGGAACTTTATTCCCAGTTGCATCTGGTTTTATGTTGCATAGGACGAGACAGATTTCCTGTCCCAAGGCCACCCTCTGTCTGTGCCTACATTTTCTCCTTGATCAATTAAGTTTTGCTGTTGAGTTCCTGTAGGAAGTCACAAGCTACAGAAGGCTTCCCTAAGAGCACCAGCTCCCACTCAGTTACTTCTCCCCAACTAATGCACATGCTGCTGTGCAGCACAAACTCCCCGACAGAAACTGGAAGTCAGTTGCACAATGTCACTAATGAATTTCATTTAACAGTAAGAGACGCTGCTCCAAAACCCATTAGCCAGCAGTTTTCAGCCAGGAAAAGTGGACCATGGAGCAGGCTTGCCTGATCCTGCCTGTCTGGGAGTGGACTACACTGAGGGCAGGGCAGCGAGCACATGCCTGCTTCCCAGGGCCAGCGCGGTTTTGGGATCAGTTCCCAGCTTGGGAACTGCATCCCGACCACAGGACTGCAGGCAGGGTAACAAGCTTGCTGCCAGCCACACCAATGCAGGAACAACAGAGTCATGAGGGGCAGCAGAAACCAAGTTACGCTCAGTGTAGCTATTAATAGGGAGAAAACTTCCGAACTAGCAGCTTGTTACCAGGGAGTGAAGCTTTTGGGAAGAGGTTTCTTTTCTATTTATTACCACCAAGTTGTTAAAATTCTCCTTTTGCCTCTAAAGTGCGAGCTTAAGCAAAACAAACAAAAAAATCTTCCCCCAGTTAAAAATAAATCTAGTGGTTGTTTGGACTATTTTGTAGCAGTAGGAAGTTGAAGTCAAAGAGCGTCAATAATGTTAGGCTTTAACCATCTGTCAATGTTCAAAGGGGACCCTCTGTTTTTGCAAGCTGGCCCTACAAAAGCCCGGGACAGTTGTGATTTCCTTCGGCTCTGACAGGAGGCTCCAGCCCTCCCTAACAGCTCAGCAGGGCCTTTACTCTTCCTTCCCAGTTTCTACAGGTTCCCAGGCTCACTGTTGCAGCCCCGAGAGAGTGCACAGGGAAGAGGAGGAAGCCTGAGAGAGAAGGTAGTGGGTTCATTCTCTGCTCTCCACTTCAGCACAAGGAGAGCCACAAGCTCTCCTTTTCTGCACCACCTCGTCACTCCCCCTGCCTGCCCAAGCCCGTGTGCATGCCTTACCCTGACCACCTGCCTCGTGCTGGTGATGAAGGCTTTCCTGACCCCCAGCTCCGTCGCATCCAGGTTGAATTTCCGCGGGTTTGCCTCAACAATGCGTAGGCAGCGAGTCAAGGAGTCCCCACGAGTGGTGTCGGGGATGTAGAGGGACACACACCCCAAAGCCTGCCACAGAGAGGGTCTACCAAGTGGCCACTGCACTCCCTTCTCCCAAAATTTGATGAGGAAAGAATAAAACACTGGAGGAAAAAAACAGGCGTGGTGGGAATGTACTTTGCAGCACACACACCAGCATGAGGTTTCTCTCTTGCATTTTTTCGGTTCCCTGATGCTGCGCAGTGCTTTCAGGAGTGCTCAGATGAACATGAGGGAAAAGGAGTATTTCTGGAAGCCAGCCTAGAGTATGACTGACTACACAGAAATCAAAATTCATACAATACAACGGACCTTCTAGAACAAAGCATCTTAGAATATACCTTGGCAAAAGGAAAACAAAGGCAAATTCTGCTAAACACACTTGCCTGAATTTTTCATTTGTAGTTTGAGAAAGGCCAATGCAAAATTCAACTCAAATAGTCCTGATTTTGTAAAAAGTAACTACTGGCAAGCACTGGTACTAGGCTATTTATTACAGCTTGAGAACCACATGCCCCTGCTTCCAACAGAACACAGAAAGGATATTAATGGTTTCATCCAAGTCTTCCAGGTCCCACTCGATGCTTCGCAGGTTGTTCCTGAGCTCATTAGTGGTCCAGTCGATTTCCTCTCTTGTGGCGATGGAGGGATCTTGCAAGAGCTCAGTCCACCTCTGGAAGAGCCCCTGGGCAGTGTTCACAGCCTTCTGCACCTCCCTGCAGCCAGGGCAATTACAGACAAGCAAAGGGATTATTTCTCATCAGTGGCCTGGCAGCAGTCATGCCAGGACAACCCCATGTCCAGCTGCATAAGGAAGCACTGCTTGCTCCCAGACATCTCTTCTAAGAATTTTTAGTTGAGTTTGTAACGGTTTGCTCTACCTGCTGGACAATCTTGTCTCCTCTTGCAGTGGAGCAGCAACAACTTACAGGTCAGCTGTTAATGAAGGGGCTTATTTTTTTAGGGGAAGCTTGTCCAGTGTCCAAGCCAGCGCAGAGCTCTGGCAATGCTTTACCTTCCTCTCAAGGCTCTTGACTGCCTACATAGGATACCCCAAGGGCTGCCAGAACTACAGGAACTGTGCCCACAATACAGCCAGGCAGACTGTTGAGTGCAGCACTGTTTATTTTAATTCAGCACTTAAAATGTACACATCTCTACTTGTGCTGGCTTAGGGACCAGAAGTTCATTCTGCCTCTCTAAGCGTTTTGGAGATGAGTGCATTCACAGCCCGGGAGGGCAAGCTTTGCTGACAGCTCTGAACACTGCTTTGATGGTTTGGGACAAGCAGGTCTGTAAGTTTCAGTCATGGGCTGTCAGTGTGTTTATCTGTATTTACAAACTTGGCGGTCCTGAGCCCTGAACTGCTCCCCCAGGTTGACAGGGAGCTGGAGATGAAAGCAGACTTTGCTGGTGTGAGAAGTGGCCCACATGAGCCCAAGTGCCTGCAGACAGCATTCATGTAAGATGTAGGTGTTTATCCCGAGTGAAGAAAAGTAGGTCAGCAGCAGGGGAAGTCCAGGACAGATGAACTGAGCCCACGTCCTGCTAGGACTGCAAGACTCTTTACATTACACTGAGGCCTGGAACTCCAGTCTCTTGGCACCTTGACGTGTGTCCCTCCTCTTCTTACACAGCCACAACTTCGAGTCTGTCACACCTAGTGCCCTAATGTTAGCAGCCTGCACTGAGGATCTGGAGCTTCGTTCCCTTCACTACTTGCTAGCAAAAGTTTTGGCTTTTATTCCATCCAGGCACACTTGGGGAAGTACCCACAGGAATTTAAAGCAGAGCTGTATGTCCTCCGGTAGGAGGTGTTATGAACTCCGGGAAAGCAAACTAAATGCAATGCTGGTGGCTCCACCACCAGCCCCCTCCACCTCAACCTGCTGGGTAATAATTAGCGCTGGGAGTGGCAACATGTCCCCTCTCCTCTCCCAGCCCTTCCCTGTACGGTGCAGGAACCTCTCTGGACAGTCTGACAGGACATTTGCTCCCCATCCACGGTGACTTTTATTTATTTCCCCTTAGCACCAGTTCAACCCGGTGAAGTGATTCACTTTCCCTGGCTGCACCAGCATCCCTCCCCACACCTCCTGCGCTCACACGGCTTTCCCCATAGCTCCCCTACGAGCACCTCCGCTGCTCCTCAGAGCTGTCTCCCTGTGATGTGGGGCCTGAAGCTGGCCGCAGGGTGGGTTTTAGAGACGAAGGTGCTTTCTCTGTTTAAATTTTCCTTTCCCCCTGCCCTGACCACCTTTGGTTGGCGTTTGCCTTTGTTTAGGCACCTCTGCTTCCTCTCATGGCCTCCATCCCTGCTGCGGTTTCTCCCACAGCTTGGTCCCCGCACCTCTCCATCCTCCCACCTGGACACCACGGCCCTGACCTCTTAGGGATGCCGCCCAAGAGCCGGCCAACCCCGCTCGGCCTGCTGCAGGGCGACAATGCCCAGGCCACCGCCGCCTCGCCCCGACGACAGAAACGTGCGGACAGAATAGGCTGCCCCCAGGCTGTCTCGGCGCCGCACC